CTATTTTTAGTTTTCTTTATGATAGATTTCCCTTACTAAGTTTTCGATCTATCTTTGTCTTCCCTGTTTTTCTTTTTTTTTTTTTTTTTTTTACATGTTGCCTCTTTTCCCCTCTTTTTCTTGCTTAATGTTTATGTTTTGTTTTTGTTTTTTAATGAATTCGATTAAATAAACTCAATAATTCATCCTTGTTGGTGCTCTTAAAATGTTTTCTTCATAAGGCGAGATAAAACATGATCACTATTTGCCCTATGTTATGTTTTTGTTTACTTCCTAACCTATTTGAAAATAGATTTAAGGCAATATTTGCCCTTGTATCACTCGAGTATATTGTTATCTTTTGATTTGTTTCGACTAGAGTACATTTTTGAATCATAATTACCAACCTAATCATTAAAAATATGCAAGTTATTCGTGATTAGCTTGTACCTCGCAAAAAAAACAAAAATAAAAAATCAAATCAGTCATTGTAATTAATTAAAAGAAAACTTTCAATTAAAAGAACAAACATTTTTTTATTTAATAAGGTCATTTGTTACTGTTACTTTAGTATATCCTAAAGTTAACTAATAAACTCTACCGTATTAAATTAATTTGATTCAAACATTTTGGAAGGAAAAAAAGGCATAGACTAATTATTTTTACATGACATTTTTCACTTTTGATTTTCTAAAATGAAAATTTAAAACAAAATTTTAAAGCTTTTTTTTTTTCAAGAACTCAAATTTAAGTCCTTTTTTTCTTTTTCAAAATTTCAAATTTTATGTTTTTTTAATTAGTGGAGACTTAAATTTTTTAACGAATACTTTAACCCTTTTTTTGCCTTTCTTCTCCTATTATTTAAGATTTTTAATTTTTCCATTTAAAAACACTGCCAAAGTTTTTTCCTTTGTGCTTTTCTTTTTTTTGGTTCTTTTTTTTTCTTTTATTTATTTTTTTCTTCATTTTCATCTCAAAATTTTCATGGAAAAGCCATTCTCTTTTTCTTTTTCCTAATTTCTATTTTTTTTAATTTCTAACTTAAAATTCTTAAAAAGATACTTTTTTCTCATTTTTCATTCTGATATATATTTTTAATTTTGAAAAAAAACATTGTCAAAATCTCCCAAAAAACTAATCATTTCTCACTTGCTTACATCTTGAAAACCTTCTATTTAATCAAGGTTAAAATTTACACCCAAAAATTTCAAGTTACATAAAGAAAATTCAACCAAAATCTTATTCTATCAACTTGAATTCTTCAATGATTCTCAGGTCTCGAGTTTACATTGGTAATGCAAAACAAAATCTCCAGAAAAATTATTTATTTAAAAACTATGAATTGACACTAATTATATTAAAGTTAGATCAGATATTATAATAATCACTAGTTTAAATAAAAAATTTCTGATTTAAGAGGGCAATATGTTAGATACCCTTCTCATGATGTGAATTAAGTAATTAAAATCTTATGCATGCATTCATGTGGCCTAACCATGGGGCTGGGGTGTGATATCAACAATTATTCATGAAACATCATTTACTACAATATTTACGAACTATAGCGGACGACAATCGAAATAAAATTAAATAAAAGTAACAACAAATAATATATATCTCTCAATGTACTCCCCATTGTTTGCCACTTCCTATTTCCTTTTGACGGCCTTCTTGATTTGTTCATACTATTAATCTGCACACAATGGGTTAATTGCTTTCTTTTTTTTTATTTATGTCCATAAATTTAAAAAAATTTCAAAAAAAAGACAAAATTCAAATCTAGTTGTTATTCCTTTTTTAAGGGGGAGAAAGATGGTAAAGAGCAAAAATTATGTAGTACCATACTTTGATCAATCTTAATACAAAGCAATGATGTTATGCCATGAGAATAAACAAGATATTGTCGTACTTCTGCCGGCACGTTACTCTGCGGCTAACTCAGGGCGGTGTTTCATTGTGCCAGTACATACTCTAACGGCGCTAAAACCATAGCAAACTATCAAAAAATTGCTATCAAAATCTCTTTTTATTGTAGTGCTATAATTGTAAATGACCAAATAAACTGGGGATTTAGTTTTCCCCTCTTGCCAAACCTACTGATTTTTTTGAAATGAGTGACCTTAAAGAACACTCGATCACTTTTTTCAAATTTCAGATCCCTCATCTGAGTGTCCGCATAACTCTTCTGCCTGTTCAGAGCCGTCTGAATATTTTTTCTGATCTTAACTATTTTGGCTGTAGTCTCCTCCATAAGATCTGGGATGAATAATTTTCTATCACCCACCTCTTTCCAACAGATTGATGATCTGCATGGGTGACCATATAACGCCTCGTACGGAGCCATATCGATACTTGATTGGTAGCTATTATTGTAGGCGAACTCTATTAAGGGTAAATGATTATCCCAATGGCTCCTGAAGTCAAGAACACAAGCTCAGAGCATATCATCCAGTGTGCGAATCATCTTTTCTGATTGTCCATCGGTCTAAGGATGGAATGCAGTACTAAGAGATAGTTTCGTTCCCGTGACTTGTTAAAAATTAGACCATAATCGAAAAGTGAACCTGAGGTCCCTGTCGGATACTACTATCACTAGTACTCCATGTAACCTGACTATCTCCCGAGTATACATTCTTGCTACCTTGTCCAAGGGGTCGGTCATCTTGATGGCCAAGAAATGAGAAGACTTTGTGAGTCAGTCAATAATTACCCAAATAGCATCACATCCCGAGCGTGCCCTAGGTAGTCCTGTCACGAAATCTATTGTAATATGTTCCCACTTCCACTCCGAAATTGATAATGGCTTAAGTACTCCGCCTATGCGTTGATGCTCTGTTTTGACTTATTGACACACTAGACACTTGAAAAAAAAGTCAGTCACCTCTCTTTTCATCCCGTTCTACCAAAATCGGGGTCGTATACTTTGATATGTCTTAGTGCTTCCAGGATGCATGACAAACTTTGAGCTATGAGCCTTTGTCATGATGTCCATTTTTAGCTCACTGTCACATGGAATACACACTATGTCCTGAAATCTAAGTATTCCATCGGCAGAGACTCGAAATTCTGAATTTACTCCTTCTTTTGCATCTTTCCTGAGGGCTGCTAGGATGGAATCGGCGAATTGAGCTTCTTTTATTCTCTGGATCAACTTAGGTTGAACAATCAGGTGGGCCAAGCATGTACTCTCTTTAGGTCCTGAAGTCGTATCTGTTGTGCAGCTTCTATTACCTTATATTCTGAAACCATTAGATGAGTTAATATACCTGCACTTTTTCTACTGAGTGCGACGGCTACCATGTTGCGCTTACCCGAGTAATACAAGATGTTGCAATCGTAGTTCTTGAGAAATTCTATCCATTGTCTCTAACACATGTTAAGATCTTTTTGAGTGAATATGTGTTTTAAGCTCTTATGATCGATATAAATCTGAAAAGTCTCCTCATACAAATAATGACATCAAGTATTCAAGGTGTGGATAATCGTGGCAAGTTCTAAGTCATGGGTGGGGTAGTTTTTCTCATGACTCTTCAACTTTCTGAACTCATAGGCTATGACATTCCCATGCTGCATTAGAACATAACTCAACCCCAGGTAGGAGGCATCACTTAAAACTGTATATCTACATGTCCCGCTCAGTAAGGCCAACATAGGTACAGTAGTCAACCGTTTTTTTAGTTCTGAAAAGCTCCTTTCACAGTTCTTGTTCCACTCAAACTTGACGTTCATCTTTGTGAGCTGAGCCAAGGGAGCAGCTAGGCTAGAAAATTCTTTCACAAACCTGCAGTAATAACCTGTCATGCCCAAAAAGCTACTAATCTTCTTGATCGAGGTCAATTTCTCCCAACCGAGTACTGTCTCAACCTTTTTAGGGTTCACTGATACTCCGTTCCTTAATATGATGTGCCCTAGGAAGGTAGTCTGTTCAAGGCAGAATCCAAACTTCCTCAACTTTGCGTA